ATCTGAATTGAGGACATAAAGCAAAAGTAAAACTTAAGTACCACACAGTGGATTTAGATCAGGTGGAAGCAGTGGCTGTGAAAGGATGATTCATAACGGTTCTCTAGGAGAAATATATTTGAAATGCAAGTCAGCAACAGTTTGAAAGTGTGTTTCCCTCTGTGTGTTTGAATATATATGAAAATGCACAGACATTGACATTTAAAATGCAAATCACAACAATCATTATTTACATATTCTCATATGCAAGATGCCTAGATTTTGTCATTGTAACAACTGAAGAGCAAGTGGTCTGAGTGGCTGTATTAGACATGATGGGCAACATTATGCTGTGGTAACAAAGAAGCCCCAAGGTTTTATGGATTATAACAAGAAAGTTCTATTGCTCACTCATTCTACTTACCCATCAAAGGTAGACAGGCATCTGTGCTCCATATTTTCACTTAGAGATGTGGACACATGCAGCCTCGCTATCTGGTTGCTGGGTGGGGGGAAAAGACACATATAGGGAGTCAAACTGGCTGTTAAAGTCTTCTGCCCATTTCACTTCTCCCAACACCACATTGGCCAAAGCAAATCACCAGGCCATAAAGAAGTGAGATCCTACAACGCACCTGGAAGGGGGGAAATTGGAATCTTTGTGGACAACCCAGTGGCTATTCAGGGTTTACTAGGACTTCTGACATGTTAAAGTGATTAATCTGTCAAGTGCAAGATTTATCCTAAAAAGTATTTTGTGACTGTAACAGCGCTTGTCCTCCAGGGTGGACCACCCTGGAAAGGCTCAGGCGGAGAAACTATAAACACCCTTATTCCTTTTCCATCTAGAATAACTTGTATTTGAGCACAGCAATAGATTAACTCACTTATTCAACAAATCTTTATTTGGCTCCAACTAAGCACCAGGAGCTGGGGATACAAAGATAAAGCAAATCTCTACTCCCAAGAAAGGCATTGTCTCGTTGCCCTGTTGGATTTAGACTGTCGGGACTTGAAGTCCAGGTTCACAGGGATATATGTGGGAATCATCAAGATGGAAGTGACTTCTGAAGAAGTCATGAGTGTCTGTGGCTTCCAGCTCAACCAGAGGCAAACACACTGCCCCTGACTTTTGTATCCCTCCTGCCCAAGGAACTCTCATCATTCTGTCCCTGGGTTCTTGCCTTGTCGTGTCTTTGCTTCACGCCCTTCCTACGGCTTCCCTCCCGGATTCAGCTGCCCCTACCCATATCTCTGGGCTCATCTTGCACCATTCTTGCCTTTCACAATGTTTCCTGCTTCTAAACTGTTGCCAGTCCTGTCCCCTCTGCCTGGAGCCGACCACACACTCCCAGCCTTCACATTAACCGGGGAAATCCCTATTCTTATGGGGACTTGACTGACAGCATTTCTTCCTCCCTTCCTCTTCCTTAGACACTAGACCTTCACTGCTCTTATGCTGTTCTATTAATATAATAATCTGTTTATGCGTCTGTCTTCCTTATTGGACTGTGGGATCCTTGAGGACAGAGGCTGTGTCCCTGGCTCATAGTATGATATTTGGTCACAGCAAACACTCCAACAACTTTTTTTTGATATTACTGTGGCAGAGAAGTATGATGAGAGGATCAGTAAAAGAGATGCAAGCATAAAAATATATCCCATAAGGCTGGGTGTGGTGGCTCACATCTGTAATCCCAGCACTCTGGGAGGCTGAGGCATGTGGATCACCTGAGGTCAGGAGTTCAAGACTAGCCTGGCCAACCAGCCATGGCCAACATGGTGAAAGCCCGTCTCTACTAAAAATGCAAAATTAGGTGGGCACAGAAGCAGATGCCTGTAAACCCAGCTACTAGGGAGGCTGAGGCAGGATAATTGCTTGAACCTGGGAGATCACACCACTGCACTTCAGCCTGGGCAACAGAGCAAGACTCCATCTCAAAAGAAAAAAAAAATCCGTATAGGATAGTATTCCAAGTGTGTATGGGGAAATATAAAATGGAAAAATGACTTCAAGGAGAAAAAAAGAATAACAAATTCTAACTATAAAGTAAAACATTACTAATTAACTTCTTAATTGTATGACCTCAGTAGCCAATTGCTCCAATGTTTAAAGTTTATTGGATGAGATGCATTTAAAAATTGACGTGTTTTATTTTAAAATATCAACATTTCTATTATGCTTGTATAACATTTAGATTATTTGGACTTATGATGGAAAAAATTAGATATAAACATTAAGACAGTGTCAGTTGAATGAATGAATGAATGAATGAAGAGTGCTTTCCATTATCAGTTAACGTTAGGTTTGGCTGGGAGTGACAGAAAACCCAAGACAGCAGAATCTTCAATAAAAGTCTTTATATTTCCAGCAACTGAAGTATCTCTTATTGGCATTCAATGTCTCACTCATATAGAAATATGAAGTTGGGCAGTCCAAAGCCCATGAGGCAACTCGTGATCTCAGGACCCAGTCTCCTTCTAGCTCTTGGCTTCTCGTTATTAACACAATGCTTCTACACCATGGTTCAAAATGGCTGGCCCAGCTCCAGGCACTGGGTCCCCATTCCAATCAGCACAAAAGAGAAAAGGCAAAAAGAAGAGTATCCTTTTGGGGACACTTCTCAGATGTAGCGCCACCGCCTCTGCTTATATCTAGTTGGTCAGAACGTGGTCATGTATTACACAAGGAAAGCTGGGAAACACAGTCTATTCTAGAGGAGAACAAATATTAAGGGACAATTATCAATTTACTCCACATCTATACTTGGATAACTCATAGGCATTTTGGACTGAATGTCACAAATCTGAACTCATCTTTTCTCCAAACGTGATTCTCTCATATTCTCTGGCACAGCCAATGGAGAACCTCAGTCTGGCTCAAGCTGGAAACCTAATGTCATTATTGATACTTTCCTGCTGTCAAGCCTCCCTCCAAAATACATCTCAAATTCATCTCCATTCCTACTGCCAATACTCACTATCAACAACCTCCTAACTTGTCTCCCAGTGTCCCTCTCAGCTGTTTCCAGATCATTCTCTGCATTGCAACCAGAATGATTTTCTAAGAAAAAATGTACCTATGCAACCATCTTCCATGTTCTTCACATGTACCCCAAAACCTAAAATGCAAAAAAATAAATAAATGGAAAAAAAAAAAGATTTGATTAAAAAAAAAAATCCGAGCATGTCACTCTTCTGCTAAAACCCCTAGAAGGCTGCCCATGGTGCTTAGGATAAAGACCAAAAACCTTTACATGGCTTTCAAAGGCCTAATGTTATCTGGCCCTTGCTTCATCTTGCACCGCTTACCTTTTGCTCTCTATGCAGTGGGAAAACTTGGCCTTCTGCTGGTTCCTCCTCCATACCAGGCTCCTTCCTAACTGCGAATGCCATTCCCTCCTTTTCCACCTCTCTCTTTAACTGGCTAATGCCCACTCACCCCCTAAGTCTCTGCTTAAACGTCACATCATCAGGGAAGACTTTCAGAGTTTGAGACTAGACTTTCATGGCAGCCTGTGCTACCTTTGCTCTTCACCCTTCACTTCTTATAGCGCTTATCACAATGAGAATTTACATGATGATTTTGTTTATTGACCCTTATTCCCCTTGGGTGGTAAGCTGCTTGAGTCTGGTGACTAGGTACCACTGGTGCTCTGCTGCATCCCAGCATTTAAGGAAATGACTGTACTTTGCTACTCAGTGTGTCCACAGTCCACAGAGGAGTGTCACCACAGATCTCAGCCCCTATGCCTGTTGATCTGGATTTAAACAAGATCCCCAGGCAATTTCTACATGTAATCAAGGTTGGAAGACCTGGTCCAACATATACTAATCATAGTAGCAGTAATAGTTAATAATACTAGGTATTGATAATGCTCCAGGCATTGTTCTAAGCACATTACCTGTATTAACTATGTACCTCTCACAGAAACCCGATGGGATAGAGAATCATTTAACAACCCTATTTTACAAATGAGGAAACTAAGGCCCACAGAGATTAAGTAACTTGTTTGAGGTCACACATCTGGCAGTAGCAGTAGCAGATGTATAGAACCAACAGATTGTATCCCTACTGTATATAACAGACCAGTTACATTGAGACAGCAGGATGTGCAGCACAGAAACAGTCAGATCACAGGGCACCAAGTGAGGGGGAGCAGAGCTGGGGTGAGAAGGAGCCCCTCAAATCTATCTTCCGGTGGAGTGCTGGGCTGGGGTTTTTAAGGAGATCATCTAGGGCAATGGGCTAGAAAACTGGGGTTGTCCAGGTGGGGTATGGGGGATGAAAATACCAGGATGTGGAAGCTGCATTCTTTGGTGAGTCAACTTCTGGTCAGCTATAGCAGGAGACCTGGGGGGCCCAGCAGGACAGGGTCACAGGGGGCCCTCACATCAGTTGGTGTCAGCGGGTCCTTCAGAACAGCTAACCTTAGTAATTTCACTGGTATGCGGGACCTGAAACAATATTCCAAGTGGAAAACGTAATGATTTATGTTCAGGTTGTTATCTACAGAGCAGTTAAAGGGAACTGTAATCTTGTAACTGAGTCTATGTGATTCTGAGATAACAGACATCAAACAATTATGAAGAAGCAGGCCGGAGAGCAAGCTGGCCTCGTGGTTCATGCCGAATGTGCTGCAAACTGGAAAGAGATTTTATTTCTCTTCCTTCCCTGCTGCCCTGATTAATTTTATAAAGTTTGTAAGGATGGTTTCAGTAGTGTTAGTAATAAAAGAGAAGGAATATGATCCCCAGTACCTAGCACAATAGAAGGTGCATGGTAGGTGCTTAAAGACATTTTAATAAATGCTAATAGGTGGAGATGTGAGATTTGAACCCAGCAAAATGGCTCCAGAGTCCCAGCTCTTAACCACTTAGCCTGTGATGAACAACCCAGACTTTGGCCTTGAACTTGGCGCGCTCGGGAACTAGAGCTCTAGGGTGGCGAATTCGATCGCGAGTCCACGCCCGCCCCCGGTCCCGCCCCCAACCTCTGACCCCGCCCTTGGCCCCGCCCCGGGCCCCAGGGCCCTGGCCAGCCTCGGCCTAGGCGGATCACGGCGCCATTTCCCGTCCAAAGCTGGGCGCGTCAGGTCGGTGCAGCGGGGTACCCCGGGATCCCCCTGGGAGCTGGTCCTGGACTGGCCTTCAGAGCCGAGCAGAGGACGCTGCTTTGGGCCTCAGAGCCTGGGACGGTCTCGGCTGCGGTCTGGGACCTGCTTGGAGGGCCCGGGGCCTGTGGACGCCGGGGAGCGGTTGCCGGGCAACAGTGCGGGCGGCCTGGCCTCCTTGCGCCAGGCCGCAGCGCGCGTCTGCGGCGGGCTGGGCGCGGGGCTCCGGCGCAGGTCCTCGCTGCCAGAGCCCTACCGAGTGAAACACCGCGCGCGGCGCCGCTTCGCCATCACCTGGCTCTGGGCCTCCTGCCCTAGCGTGAGTGGCACTGGCCAGGCAGTGAGGACCCTGAGATCCATGCCCTGGGAGACAGGGGTTGGCTTCCATGCACCCGCGCGCTGCCTTCTAACCCTCATATCTTTGGGCAGGTGAATTCACTGCACTGGGCCTCTGTTCCGTGGGAATTGCAAAGATTTGACCTGGAAGAAACTCTAGTGATCATTCAGTTAAGCTGCAACCCCACTCCCCGTTTTATATAGAGAGGGTGCTTCACAGTGAGCCCTCTTCGCGTGCCTTTACATCAGTCCCCAAAATAGTCCTCCAGGTTCCTCTTACCGTTCCAGTAGTATGGGTGAGGACTCTGAGGCTCAGAGAGGTTGTGACTTTAGCCAGCATCACACAGCTTGTAACTGGTGGAGATGAGACTGGAGACTCGAATTAGATCACTCGCAGTTTGTTCGTGGCAGATTACGTGTTAAAAGCGTGTTGCGCTACTATGAAACCTAGCTGTCAATCAGAATCACCTGGAAAGTGTTTAAAATATACATTCCAGGCTGGGCACTGTCCGGGGTTTATTGACTCAGAATCTTGGGCTAAGGCTGAGGATGCTGTATGTTTAACAAGCTTCCCGATGATTTTTATGATCTGTGGATGAGCTGTTGAGTACCCCTGGATACACCACGGGGCCTTCTCGCACAAAAACAACTGTAAAATAATGTCTAAGTTACCTGGAGCAGAAGAGACACGTGGTAACGTCACGTTCTAATCCCTTCAGCCAATTTGTAGCCTTTCTTAACTCTTCAGAAACAAGCCAAAGGCGTATTTTAAACAAGGATGGACATTTAGATGCAAATTGCCCCATGCTTTGCTACCTGTCACACATCCACATCTAAGCTTCTGACTACACCAGCCTGTCATAATCAAAGTCAGGTGTTAGTGTATTTCTCTGTCCTTGGCAATCTGTCAGCTGGTTTCCCCTCATCTCCATGCCAGGACCCTAAATCGCAGGGGTTGATTTCGTCTTTGGAAGAACTATTTGCAGAGCAGTTTCTGCACTGGAAGGAGGGCTGGAAGCTTTCTGGAAGCATTGCCAAGAGTGTCTCTTGGCCTTAAACAGCAGTTGGAGTGAAATGGATCACCCTACTGTTATTCATTGACGTTTATAAACAAAACTCTGTCATAAAAATAATCACTCAGCTCATAGTTTTGAAGTCTAGTAAGCCTGACCATTCTGTTTAGTGCTTTATTATTATTAATTTCATCATTTATGCTGCATCCCTCAGGGATTCCGGTTCACAATGGATGCTGATCAAGAGAAAGATTTGCAGAAATTTCTTAAAAATGTGGATGAAATCAGTAAGTACTAGTAAATCATAAATTAATTTCTGCTTTAGAAAGGTGGAGTAGATAAAGAGAAATGATTAAGTTTCTGGGTGGCTGGACAGGTTTATAACTCTTAGGAAAAAAATGTAATTGAAATTAAACAAGGGGTATTGAGAAGCAAGCTATAGCCTCAGAGCAGTATTTTCTGGCTGTTAATTGATATCAGAGAAACTGTTAATATTCTGACAGGAATTCAGGCTGACTGTTTTCTTCCATATCATGTATCCTCCTATGTGGAATCTGATCTAAAGGAGCTGCTGTTGCCCCATGCTGTTCCCTTCAAGGGTCAAGAGCCTCATTGATCAGTGTGAGGTTCCTCCTGTTTTAGAGTAGAACCTTTTGTTTTAGAGTTGCAGAGGTAAGATTAGACGGTTTTGCTTCAGGATCCATCAAATTACATGGAAGACTTATGATCATCATTCCCTTCTCTCCCTGTAGATAAGAACGTCCTTTCCCAAGCTCAGGCGGTTGGGATCTCAAAGAATATGTACTTTGATCCCACAGATCACATTCAAGAAATTCTAAACCTGTCAGTCCCTGTTCAGGGAGTTTGTCTGAGTATAGAAACAGACAAGTCAACAAGCAAACAGACCTTACATCGTAAATACAAGCAATATGTTGAAATTGCTGCTTCTAGCAGATCGTATGGGTTCAAGGAATAAAATAATTTTACAGCTAGTTTGGGTGGCTTTGTAAGTGATGCATGTATAATGCCTTGTGTGCCTCACGGGCCTGCTCATCCTGAATGGTGTTCCGTGGAGCTCTGGCCTTGGCCCACCGCCACCTTTCTCTTCAGCTGGTCTAAACATGTGGCTTTACCTGCCACCTGTTTGCTCATGACCCCCACCTCTATATGGACGCTTAGCCTTCTTTTCTGAGCCTCTGCCTCTATGGTCACTGTCATACCTACTGTAGCCCACAAATACCTCAAACTTAATGTGTCCAAAATTGAGGCATCATCTCTTTCCCCCTTGCCCTCTCCCTCCCAAATAAAACTGCTTCTCCTGCCATCCCCTTCATCCTGGTCTCAGTTGGTGACACCTCCATCCAGAAATTTACAAGTCATCTGGGACTCCTCCCAACTCAAAACCCAGCATTCAATTAGCCACCTAGTTTGGTTGGAGAGCCATCCTCTCCATCCCTCCCTTTGTTCTTGTTCCTCTCACCCAGACTATTTCAACAACCCCCTGATTGTTTTTCCTCTCTCCAGCCTTATACTCCCCACAGAGTAATGTATCTAAAATGCAAATCTGACCCAGACACTTCTCTGCTTGGATTCCTTTTGCAGTCACAATAAATCCCACGCTCTCATCAGGACTTAAGTCCTCCCATGACCTTGTCCTTACCTCTCTCATCTCTCCCTACCTCACACTAGAGCAGCAATAAACTGCTGGTAGTTTCCCATGCATACACTGCGTTTCACACTCTGCACTGGGTGTTTGCCATTCCCACTGCCTCTTCCTCTTTTTTTTTTAACCTGGCTAACTTTTATTCATACTCAAAGTTCATACATGTATCATTTATACCAGCACTGTCCAATACAGCTTTCTGTGATGATGAAAATGCTCCATAGCTGTCCATTCTGATAGCTGCTAGCCATATACAATTATTGAGCATTTGAAATGTGGCTTATAACTCTACCCTGTGGTCTAGTGGTTAGGGTTCTGTGTGTTTATGGCTACAGCCCAGGTTTGAAATGTGGTTGGTTTTAATTAAATTTATGTAGCCACATGTATATAGATTCTGTACATTTACTCCTTGGGCTCTTGCTATGTGTTGAGTGTTGGTAGGCCCTAGAGATTACAGTAAAAGAATGACCTCTTTTCATGGTAACAGTAGTCCAGTGGAGAAAACAGATATTCAGCAGTAAATTCAAGTGTGCTATGTGAGACACAGAATTATAAAGTGTAGGAATCTAACCCAACTTAGGGAGGTCATATTAGTCTGCTCGGGCTGCTGTAACAAAATAGGATGGGTGGCTTAAATGAGAAAACTTTATTTTCTTAGAGTTCTGGAGTTAAGAAATCTAAGACCAGGGTGTCAGTAGGTTTGGTGTCTTCTGAGCCTCTCTCCTTGGCTTGCAGATGGGTACCTTCCCACTGCACCTTCACGTGGTCATCTCTGTGTGTGCATGTATTTGGTGTTTCTCTGTTTATAGGGACAGTAGTCATATTGGATTAGGGCACTGATTACTTCTTTAAAGGCGCCATCTACAAATACACTCATAGCAGGAGTTGTAGCTTCAACCTGTGAATTTTGGGGGGATGCAATTTAGTCCATGACAGAAATCAAATAAGGTTTTCCTGAAGAAGTGAGATTTAGGCAAAATGTAAAGAGTGAGTAGGAGTTGGTCGTTGGGGAGATGATAGGGGAGCATTCTGGGTGAGAAGTAAGGAGGCAGGAAACCTAGGAGTTAAGAAAGAATGTGGTACTTCTGAGGAACCGAAAGAAAGAAAGCCCCTTGTGGCTGGAAAGAAGAGATCAAGGAGAGAAGAGTCCCATCTGAATATGGAGAGGCCAGATTAGGAAAGACCTTGGAAACCACAGTAAGGAATTTGTGTTTCCCTAAGAGCAGTAAATCCATTCCAGCTAATCTATGTGGTGGCTCTCCCCTCAAAGAGATGGAGCATAACTCTCTACCCCTTAAATGGGAGATACATTTGGTGACTTGCTTCCAAAGAGTAAAGTATGGAAAGGGAGGGAAGAGAATAACTTTACAGTGGAAAAGGCTGACAAACACAACCTCAGACAGATGATCGAGGTTAACCTCATGATAAATCAAGCTGATGGCATGCATCCTTGATATGCCATGATGTGCCATCTTCTTTGCAAAATCCTGTAACCCCAGTCTAATCGTGAGAAAATTACTAGATAAACCCAAAATTGGAAGGTGTTCTATGAAATACCTGACCAGTACTACTCAGAACTGTCCAGGTCATCAAAATAAGGAAAGGGTGAGAAATTGTCACAGAGAAGCCTAAGGAGACGTGACTAACTGTCATATAGTATTCTGGATGGGATCCTAGAATAGAAAAAGGACGTTACGGAGAAAAACAATGAAATTAGAATGAAGTGGGGAGTGGAGTTAATAAAAAAATGTTAATTAAAAGACATGAAAGAAGAGCTAAATAGAGACATATTTAATCATAGGAAGACTCATTTGGTAAAGATGTCAATTTTTAAAATATTCTATATGGTAAATACAATTTAGATCAAAACTCCTAAAGTAGTACATACTAAAATTCAGCAAGCTGATTGCAGAGTTTACATGCAAAGCAGAGAACCAAGAAAACCCAAGCAAACTGCAGGACAAAAATAAGCAGGACAACTCTTCCTACCTGATGTTCAAGATTTATTATAAAGCCATAGTAATCAATGCATGGAGGTTTTGGTGCTGGAAAAGACAGTCGGGGAAAGGAATAAAGAGCCTGGAGTAGATTTACACACATAACAGGGATGACCAGACACGTTGCTGGCAGGGACTCCTCAACAAATAATGCTCCTCCCCTACCCAAAAGTCAACCCCAGGTGAATTAAATACCTGAATGAGAAAAAAACTTTAAAACTTTTATAAGTCACCATAAGAGTATATTTATAACCTTACTGACACAAAAGGCATACATTGTAAAGGAAAAGATTGGTATATTTAACACATTAGAATTAAAGAGAAAATATCTTCAACAAAATATTCCATAAAAACAAATGAAAAGACAAAGCATACCCAAGGTGAAGATGCTTGGAAATACCTGTGACCAGTCCAGAATATACAACTGATAGGGATAGGAGAGAGGGGAATAGTGGATAGGGGAGGGTGGTTCCCTGGCAAAGACCCCACCCTCAAGCTTGGAGATCTGCAGCCCTAAGTGGAAACAGGCATTTCTGTTTTTGTGCCCAAAAAGTTGCCTTTTAGCCCACCATGCTCCCCTGTCCTGTGCCCATACAAACCCTGAACCCCAGGCTCCAGAAGCAGATGGGCAGGTGAGGAGAAGAGGATACAGGCAGACAAATGGCAGAACAACACAGCAGAGAAAAGAGGAGGAATGCCTGAACACTGAGAGGAGTTTGGTTGGGAGCAGTCAGAGGGGAGTTTGGCCACTGGATGGCCTAGCTCCAGGGGAATATCATCTTTCTACTCCATCCCCCCTTCCAGCTCCCCATCCATCCCACTGAAAGCCACCTCCACCAGTCAATTAAACCCTACATTCATCCTTCAAGCCTGTGTGTGACCTAGTTCTTCCAGGGATACTGGGCAAGAGCTCAGAATACAGAAAGCTGTCACTTCCCTCTGCCCTTTTGAAAAGGCAGAGGGTCCACTGAGCTGGTTAACACTCAAGCCGTCTGCAGATACAGGGCTGAAAGGGCACCACTGTAACACATGTCCAATGGGCCCCTGCACTTGCCTATCTGTGTTCTCCCCCTCCCCTCAGGGGTTTGAGCAGCAATGATGCCTGACCAAGCAAGCTACACCCCTGTCACACATCCTTTGAGGGAGATCAGTGAACTCTCCTGTTTCACAATCAGATCAGCTAGGCATGGTGATGTGTGCCTGTAGTCCTAGCCACTCAGGAGGCTGAAGCAGGAGGATCACTTGAGCCCAGGAGTTCAAATCCAGCCTGAACAACATAGCAAGACTATCTCTTAAAAGAATGTTTTTTTAAAAAAGAAATTATGTTAACTAATAAAGGGACAAATGACCCAATAGAAGATTGGCCAAGGATAGGAATAGGCTGTTCATAGAAATCCAAATAAGCTACAGATCAATAAAAAGATGCTCAATTCCAGTCATATTTAGCAAAATGCAAATTCTAACATTGACGAGATACCATTCCCATCCATTGTATTGACAGCAATTAAAAAGTTTAACCTAGCAAGTGATGACAAGAATGTAGAAGAATGGGAACTCCCTCTTGTACACCTTTGTAGGAGTAAAAGTTTATACAGCCATATCTTGAAGAATAACGTATGTGCACAAGGAAATAAGTACGTACAGGTATTCAATTCAGCATTTATTTACTGTAGAAAAAAATGAAAATTAAAAACCACCAGGCTATCAGTAAGAGAATGGATTACTATGGTATATATAATGGTTTCAATGAATCAACTGGAACCATATGTGTCAAGAAAAATTTCTAAGGCATCTTAACAGAAAAAAGTAAGCTGCAAAAGAATGGCATATTTTATACAACCATTTAAAAAATTGTTTAAATGTTACATACAAAAGTATTCTGATAGATTGCAAGAATGGTTACAAATTCCTTTCTTCTCATCAAGAGTGGAGGCTATTTTTCTACCTCTTGAATCTGGGTTGGCCATGTGCCTTGCTTTGGCTAAAAGGATGTTTGCAAACATGACACAGGGAGAGGCTTGAAAAGTGTGTGTGAACTGGGGCTTGCGTTCATGCCACTCATGTAAGACACACTTCCCCTGGTTGCTCACATTCCTTAAGCCAAAACCGAGCGGACTTTCCAAAGCAGAGCCACTTAGATGACTGACAGTTGACCGTGGATGTATGTGTGAGTCCAGCTGAAACCAGAAGAACTGGCCAGCTGATTCCAGCTCAGATTGTTGACATAGAGAATTGTAAACTCGGCCACAAAAGTCGTGGTTTGTTTCAAACCACTAAGTTTTGATGTGGTGTGTGATGCAGCAAAATCTAAATGACACAAATACTAAGCATTAAAACATGTTGGGGAAAAGACACTATTAACTTACAAATGGTGTGGAAACAAAAATGTTATATTATTTTCTGTATGTTTGAAATATTTTACAATTAAAAATTTTCAAATTTCCTTGAGTCAGTGGGAAATGAAGAAATTGGAACAGGAAAATATCTTTAAGAAGTTTCGCTGTGAAGGGGAGAAGACAGAGCATTAAGAGAGATTTAAGGTACACAAATACATTTAGGAAGAAGCTGATCGAATGGAATCGGTTGAAAATATTGAGCAATAGGATTATTAATTGGTGATGCAAAATTCCTGATTATGCAAAATAGGATCATGGGATCCTAAGCCCAGGATGAGGGACTAACCTCACAGAGGAATGGGCACCTTTTCCTGGTAGAAAGGAAGGATGGATGTAGGTATAGGCAGTTTTGTAGTTTTAATGGCAGGAAGTTGATGCATCTCTTTCCTCTCTGAATTGATAAGTAAGGTCATCTTTTTGAGATGGTCAGGTTTAGATTGCAAACTGTAAAAAGTCATTGGGGGAATGATAGGATGTCTTGCCTAGGATAACAAGGATTGCTGGGCATCACTGAAGGTCCAGTTGAATTTGGACTAGTGCCCGAAGCATCTGTCTGTCTCCATCAGTACTTTACATCCCTAATACAGACTGAGAGAAGTAGGTAATTGGACTCACCTAGAACTGGAATTTTGTCTGTTAGGTGGGATAGTGGGGCAAGGGAGTTGAGTTTGTGGGCAGGATGGCTGCTGAGTGATTGACCATGGAATCTAAGCTGGTTAGGCAGTAAATGAAGTCAGGTGAGGATAGGATTAAGGGCTGTTGTTTTGTGATTTTTGGAGCTGCCTATACTTACGTGTTTGTTTCCTACACAAGTTCATAAACTCTTCAAAAAAGGATCTTTTTTATTCAACATTGTTATCTATAGCATTCAGCATAATATCTAACTCATAATGAACTCTCCATAAATTATTGTTGAATTGAATAATGGCTTAAAACCCTGTTCCTTAAAACTAATAGTTAGACTTGCCTGCAACTTGTTCTAGGAAAAAACAAAACAAAACAAAAAAAAAAACAACTACCGTTAATTTTTTCTCATTGGTTCTGCTTGCTCTATTTTGCTTTCTATTGCTCTATATTTTTTTCTTTAAGCTCTTTCCCATACATTTTATGCACCATTCTTTCTAGTGAATAGAGTCTTTTGAATATCTTGTTTGATTAAGTCATGTCCAATTTCTTCTCTAGCCAATTTAATTCAGGAGATGAATTCTGATGACCCAGTTGTGCAACAGAAAGCTGTCCTGGAGACAGAAAAGAGACTACTGCTTGTGGAGGAAGACCAGGAGGAGGATGACTGCAGGACCACCTTGAACAAGACTATGATCAGTCCTCCACAAACTACTATGAAGGTTTCCTTTTCTATTCAGAAGCTATATAAGTACATATAGTGAGAAGACCTACACCAAAGCAGTAGTTTAATCTCAAACTGTCCAGTGAGGCTGAAATGGTCTTTTGTTTCTTAGATTCACTCTATTTATTTTTTATAAGAAAGTATAAAATTTGATTTTCTTTTTCCTTTTGTCTTTCTGGGTTATCTTTAAACAATCCTTTGGGT